ACTGGCCAAAGCGATTAGCTAGCCAATATTACTTTATCGAAAAATTTGCTATCACTGATATTTATAAGTTATTGTATAGTGGGTAAAAAAATATAGGTACGGTAGTACGGATATAGATCAGTAGATGAATCAAATATTTTTCAGATATTTTAGGGCCGCGATAGCGGCCCTAAAACACCTGAAAGATATTTGATTCATCTACTGATCTATATCCATACTATCGTGTCGATTTTTTTACCCTCATACAATAATGTTATTATTGTCCAGCAGTTGTTACTATACGTATTTGATCATATTAAATAAATAACGTAATGATAGAATGATATAAATTCGAAAATTTGATTTTCTCTTAGTTTTTATATATAAAAAATTTTTAATTTTATCATTATTAGTTTTAAAACAGAATAAAAAGAAAAAAGATCTGTACAAATATGATCAAAATTTGGTATGGCAGTAACAACATGGCCATACAATAATATATAAAATTTTTTCTTTTTGATTTATAATTACTTTAGAAATTTCTTTATCATAGGGGGTAATATTTGTACATCCTGTTGCATGAAAAATTGCACGCCATGCCCTCAGTTCACATTCTCTAAATTCATGATTTGGACCATATATTTTACTGAGATGAGTATATAATTTGATTATATTACTTTTTTGTTGGTTCCAACTTTGAAATACTTCATGCTATTCTTTAGCAGACTTGCCAACTGCTTTTTTTAAATGTAAATCAAATAAATGCTCCATAATTGTTTTATTATTCCAATCCACAAATGTACACTCATTTGGTATTAACGTTTGATGATTAAATTTGGCTTTATATATTTGATCTAATTGTTGTAAAGTCGTTGGGTGATTTATAGCGAATAAAGTATCACCCAGGAAGAATTTTAGAACTCCAGTTTGGATCCAAATAGCATTGGGAGAACTATCTTTATATTCAGCGATGATTTGACTATTCTGATAAATTATAATCGAATATGAATTGTCATCATTAACAGTTTGAAAAAAAACAGACTGTTTTGCTTTGTACTTATTAAACAATGATGCCATATAATTATGACCAACTATATTACTATTTGAACATGTAATTTTACCAAGAGAACCAACATAAATTGATAAATTTTCTATTTTTATAATAAATGGACAAAAAATAACATTTTCTAATAATTTTTGAAATGTTTCAGGTTGTTCTAAACCTAAATATGATAAACCCACAAATTTTGTTTTAGTGCCAAAGACAGCTTGGTAAACTGATGTAATTGCTATTGAGGAACTTGAAACCATACCACTACTTTTTCTATTTCCTTCACATATGTAACTCAGTTGTAAATGACTATGTATATGACGAACTACACGAATAATAAAAGGCATTTTATTGAGTTGTATTATAATCTCAAGTTCCAAACGTATAGGAATAGGATAAGGTATATGCTCTTGATTGTCTTTAGAAAAAACCCACCAATCACGCATATATGGTCTGTAGTGAAGCTCTGGTTCAATAGTACCAGTTGCTACAAGTTTTTCTGAAGTTATGTGTATGCTTGTCATTTCAATTCTTTTAGGAAATAGAGATTTCAAATAAAATTTTTTTACTTAATAAATATAGCGCTGTAATTTACTATATACTATCTATTAGTCACATGCGGATCTGCAATTAAGTATTTTTCCGTTTTTTGAGCTTTTGCTTTTCTTCAAATTAGTTTGACCTTTTTTTTTTTTTGAAGCCATTGCTATTTTTCTTGTCACTGTCTGTCATGTTGTTACTACTGGTTTCTTTTTCCTCTTCTAATATTGAATTATCATTAGTAAAAGTTCTTTCTTGGTATGTTTCCATTTCTTCTTTACTGGATTCTTTTTCCATTTCTTGTTGGTATTTGATTTATTCTTTGACCCAAATGCATTTTCTGAAGCAGTGTCTTCTTTTTGTCTCACCCGGACCTAGTGAAGAGTTAGGTTGTTATACCTTACTGATTTTCTCTGTGCTTCTTCCATTTCTTGCTTGTTTGCGAAGGTCACTTTCGCTATCTATTTCATAAAACCACTTCTTCTTTTTGGAATATACACAGTCTTTGCATTTCTATCTTTTAAATATCTAAGTAATAGGGTTTCAGAGAGTCCTTTCGTAATACCTGTTAGTTTTGCTACAAATCTGTATCTTTTATCTCTTTCTTCATGATCCTCCTTTCCTATAGAAACCTTGGGCAATTTACCGTTACCTACTTGAAGGACCCAAGGTTATGTTCAAATTTTCTAAGTTTTCATAGAATTCTACTACTGCAAGAGCCTGTTATTTCTTCGCTTAATATATATGTCTTCTATATCACCTAATTTCCTGCATATGTACTTGACTTCTTTTGTATCTATATTTACTGGCAGATCCCAAATTGTAATACAGTTCATATTTATTCACCTATTATGATTATAACTTTTAGCTGTTTCAAACTTATCATTGTGAAATCACTCTTTTTGGTATAGGTTTCCTTCTGTTTCTTTGAAAGTTCTCTTGAGGTTTTCTTCTTCATCCTTGTAAGTCAAACCTTTTCTTCCTTTAGGCTTACTTCTTTTGCTTCTTTGTTTATATCTTGAGCTTCTTGATTCATCATCAGTTACTGAAATTAATCAGAGCCAATCTCCTTCTTTTTTTTGAATTCTTTTGATTGCTTCATCTCTGCTGAACTCACAATCAAATTCTATTTTGACCTAGCTATTTCCGTTTACAAAAACTTTCTGCACTAACTTTATGTATTTGTCTTTATTTAGTATTCCTTCTATATTCATGGTTCTTTCTTTGGACAAATCATCTGGTACTTTAAAAGCTAGTACTTTTGCTCGGTATGACTTGTCTCCTTTACAAACTCTGTTGCTTGGTGACCAGATGCTTTGTTCAATTGAATCACCTGTTTCTGCGAGTTTAATTTCATCTTCTTGTACTGTTTTCTTCTGCTACATTTTAGGTTTGGATATCTCCATTATATCTTGCAAAATGCTGTCTATAGGGGCTTCTTTATCTTTTCTACCTTTTTTGCCTTTATAATTTTCCTCCTAGGAGTTTTCACTTAGGTTTTCTTTAACAGCTTGTCCAGTTTCTTTTGATTCTTTATGTTTATTTTCAGTACTTATATCTATGCTTTCTACTTGTTGGATAAGTCTTTTATACTTATTTCTTTTTTTGATGAAATCTTCACAGAGTCTTCCCTTTGTTTACATTTTTTGGTCTCTATTACTGTAGTTTCTCTTTCTTCTTCAACTCTTATAACACTTTTCATTTTGTTCAATTCTTTTTTAATTTTTTCTTTGCTCA